CAGTGCTCTGAAATACGTGATTGCTGAGCTTTCGGTAACTGAGTACCTTCTCCAAGGCAAGCAGAATCTGCTTGCCTTGGAGAAGGTACTCAGCCAGTGAGGAAAAAAAGCTGAAATCCACAACAACAAAAAACTAAAATCAGCTAAAAAGCTGAGAAATCTCACCCCTGTACTACATCAACCCTGGAAAAGGTATTTTTATCGACGAGCTAGTGCCTATCAACTGCAGTAAGACTGGCCTTACATGCACATGTACATGTATGTGGAGGGCTCTCGACCAACGGGAATGGCTGTTTACAGTTTGCCTTGTAAGAACTTCCAACTTGTGAATGAGAACGGATTATCAATGAGTACGCATCCACATTTTAAATGAAAGGGTGGCAGTTTGCATTGTATCGATGCACCTGCCGTACACTGTACACCATGTACATGTACATACTGTGGGGAAAATTTCTGCCCTTGTTGACTGCATAAATTCTGCAATCGTTCTTAATCATCTGGAAAGCCATTCTCTGGTTGTCATACATGACATGTAAATTAATTGATTTTTTTTTTTTACCCACCAACTGGTACAGTCTACGAGGAAGATTAATTGCTGCAACAGTGACAATTTTACCGGTTGCAAAAATTGGTTCCCTGAGGACTTCATTGTTTTGTGTGGTGGAGATCGAAAGCTCGGATTCAGTGTCAGTCCTTATTGGTACGTGTACATGATTGGACGGGATTATGTGGCCGGCATTATACAAGATTAATTGCAGCCCTGTGATCAAGCAATCAGCGGACAATCTGACCTGTTTAGTCCCATCTTTGGTCATGTGACCACGCTGCTGTTACACTGGTTGCATTATGCTACCGTATTTAAGAAGCATGGGGACATTTTACATGTATAATACACAAGTAGCGGCAGATGTCTGTGATGTATAGTACATATGTATACATAAGGTCCAGTTCTAAAAGAAGCATGAACAAATTTTGGTTGTTGAATCAATTTCCTACAGAATGAACAATTTTACATGTACAGAGCAATAAAATGATGTCATTCTCAACTTGAAAACTACATGTAACTTTGTGTACGTACGTATCTAATGCATGGTACATGTACTTCGATCACACAGGACAAACAATAGCCCTTAAATACATGTACCATAAATGACGTCGTATCAGTAGCTTTTTCCACAGTGATAAGACTCATGCGGCCACTTTCATGACAATTGGCTTCTATCTGCTGGGAGAGATGATTCAAACCAATCTGGCTTACATTCCAGCTGGCCACTTCCGAACATCAGCAAATGCCCTCCTGTCAGGCAGTGAATCACCACCGCTCATCAACGAGGGCCGGTTATGACAAGCACATCCAAGGCAAACCAAGCTGCCCCCCCCAGTCTAGGCACTTCCATTGTGGAGCTATTTGTGACATGGGAGAAGCGGAGTGTTTGCCTCTCCACCTTTCAGACTTCACTTTGAGTCAACAGCTTCCATAAATTTATTGCAGTATCGCGACATGATCATAACTAAACAATAGGGCACCCACAGTTATTCTCTATGGTTCTCATTTCTTGGTACAAGTAGCCGAGAGAAAAAAATCCAATCCGCAAGGGCAAAAACTACTGTACATGTAATAACCGGTCGGTATCTGCTCCCATTTTCTTTCACAGAGCGGCTGGTGTTTGGACATCCTGTGGGAGATCCATAATTTGCTTCAGTCTAAAATGGGTACACTGTCCTCCAGCTGGTACTTGCAAAATGAACACGGTGCACACATTACATGTACATGTACTTGTATGTACCGGGTACATGTAGATTTGGTGTTTTTGATGTTTTTTTCAAAATGAACAATTGCCTCTGCTGCCAAGTGGTTCACGCATGTGCCGGTGCATGTACTATAGTTACAAACTTTGGCCACGCATGTAATCCTGAACAAATGACACCGCCAAAGTTGTATTCATTCAACATTTCCTCCCGCCCCACCAAAAAAATGAAAAAAATTAATCCAAAAAATCAAACTAAACAACTATAGTGAGCGGCTCCAAACAAATGTGCATTTCGTTGAAACTTTGGCTTCTGGGTAAAATTCCTCCGCTGGAACCCTGCATCACTTTGGCTTTTTTTTCTTTGCAAATCAAAACCTCGGAGTTCAGTTACATGTAAATGTAACTCAGCGATCCTACATGTACACTTACAAATCTCACATGCACCGTGCATTTCTGTGTATTGAGCATGTGGGTGTGCATTTTATTAGTAATTACACAAATTACGCTGACTGAAACGTCATTTTGTAGAACAGAAATTGATTAATTAGACCAAAATGGTGTGCAGGCATCATAGAGCCGTTGAAGCATTTTTACAAATCGTCCTGCCGTCTCACACAAAAAATTAAAAGAACTCTATTCGACGTGTCGGAAAATTTCTAGACTGAGTCATGACAACCACAATTCCGAGACCATGACGTGGAAGGGGGGAGGGTGGCGTCCCCACACAAACCCTGTCACGGTTTAAAGAGCCATTTGCCGTGATTTATCTGGTAAATGAGGTGGAACAGTTTCCTTGTGGCCGGCCGGCGGAGGGCGCCGTGTCCACTGAGTCAACCCAGCAAAGGGAAGGGGTTTGGGACTCTGGGAGAGACAACCAGCATTTCTGAATAAACAGGGCACACTCCTAATTGGCACATTTACCCACAAAGCTCCCCGGGGGACAAAATAGCATACCGTAACCCCCCGGGGCTTGCTTGATCTGTATCATGCATACACACTCTTACGGACGTTGGGCGGGCGTCACTCATCAGCCAATTTGATAAAATGCCACATTTGCCCGATTCACCCTTCTCAGTGGCAACAGTTGGCAAATGTTGACATACCGGTATGCCTCCTGCCTGTTAATGACGTTTCACTTTATACAGTACCGGTAAGTTACACTGATCTGTGAAACGGGACTAGGGAAAAACACCGTTAACCTGTTTATGTTGGGTTTTCTTCTCCGAAAAGCTCCCCGGGGCGGGTTTTGTTTGCAAATCTGGCCCAACCGAGCACAATACTCTTCATACTTTACCCAACCATGGAAATGAAAAAAAAAAAAATCTCAAATGAGCATGCACATCCTCCGTGGAAAAAATAAGGCAAACTATGTTTACACGTCATCTGGTGGCAAGTGGTAAAACCATGATGCGATTTTCAGCAACCTCAAAAAAAATGCCCTATGGAAAAATACCTGATTCTCTATAAAACTACATGTAACTTAAAGGGGAATTCAGGCCGAGGTTATTCAGATGGGTATCAATTTATTCTTCCTTTTATTTAAATAATTGTGACCCAGCCTAAAATGAGTCAGAAGTCACCGGAGCTACTCTTGGGTTAAAAGTGACATCACAATGGGAACCTATTCCAGGACCGATTTCCATCTCCTACCGGTCAACGTCCAGAATACTGGCAGGGGAACAGGGAACCTGCACTCGTTGGCAAAATCCCACTTTCCTTGGTGTCCCTTGTGCATTCACCAAGGTGACCAATTGCAGCAAAATCAGTCCCAAGTCACTGGTGCCACTATTGAGTTGAAGGCCTCTTGAAAACTTTAGCACAATGACACATATCAACAGGAATTCTACTTTATGTCTGTCACTCACACACTTGCTAGATTCACTTTCATGAGGATGTCAAATCGAATGAAAAGTCTAAAGAAAGAGCCTGGTTGGCTCTTTTTACTGCAAACTATGGTAAAACTATGGTAACTATGGTAAAACTATGGTAACTATGGTAAAACTATGGTAACTACAGTGTATGGTAAAACAAAATCAGTTCAAACAGGAATAAGACTCATTTTGTTAGATGTCGTCTCAAATTTGAAACAGTGTAATAAAGGTGTTCAAATGTACAACATATCTACCTGTACATGTGTATACATATCAGCCCCCCACTGGACCCACAAAGTGAGCAATTTTTCTAGCAATGGAGGCTCCTGCAGTAAGAACTGCTCTTCACTGGTTCACAAATGACTATGAAAATGCATGTGTTAACCACTTCGCACCAGGGTTAGTTATCAATGTTGATGCTGCTGGGCCGGGATATTTATCATTTTTTCTGTTTTGAAAATTCTTCAAAAATTCATCATTTCATTTAACCGACGTTTATACCCACATGAAGTAATCTTCAGGCACTACTCTACATGTAAGTTGACAGGTGACCTTCATTGATGCCCGGGCGTTTCAGCCAGGCCCAAAGCCTTGTCAAAAGAGCCCAGAGCACCCGGCGGCAAGTGGTTAAAATCGTGTTGCTACTGGTCAACAAAATAAACACTCCCCATCAACGAGGCTCTTTTCAACTGACGAGGGAGTGCTTCTGCTCAAGGCAGCTAATCCTTTAATACAGAGTGGCTCGTAGGTCATCAACTTGAGCAAAGTAAATACACTGGTACAAATACATATACCATGTACATGTATGTGGGGTGCGATCAGTCGATATGTACCACTGCTTGATATTTGCGCTTTGATCTGTGGATCTTATTCCACGGTTTGACACGAGCCAATCACCTCGACTTTCACATTCGCTACTGTAGAGTACCGAACTGAATACGTCACGCGCACAATTAGTGTGTAAAAGGCATTAGCGCGAGGACCAGCGCGTGAACCAACACAGTGATGATGTCAGACTTTTGTACTCTATAGAAGACTGTTTCAAAAAAGAGACGTAGAGTCAGAGATTTTACATAGGATCTGAAACTGGCTTATTGCAATGCCATGATTGCACTGACCAGCCAATCACCCCCAAAATACATTTACATTTAACAGGTGATGCAATAGCATTTCTGCATGGTCGCTAGAGAGTAAATTACGTTGCATTTGTGACACATTTACATGTACAATTAGCTAAAACGTCAGTGACAGGACTCAAGGCGCAGTGGAAACCGTGAAAACAGGAAGGGGCCTAAACACAAACATGTACATGCGTAATTGGCCCTGCAAGAAAGGCCCAACGAGACTCGTTAAAGACAGAATGGTTGTGGGCGCTTACCGATTGTTGCCGCCCGTTCTGTCCTTGGATATCCCCTTGATCATTTCCATGTGCGTTATCCGGAACTCATTACCGGGAAACAACAGCGTGGCCAGTACAGCGTTCTTGGAATGACTGTGTAGGACAGCACCGGCATCTAAGGGGGAAACAGGCCCAAAGTTCTTCATTTTGTGGAAAACAAGAACTTAAATGCCGGCTATGTCTTGCCCTGACTTTGAATGTTTTGTAAGAAAAACATTTTGACAAATTCAAATGAAATTTTGTTCACAAATATTCCCCACTAACATCTAAACTGCTCTCTCATTCAAGATGAACCAGAATGTTTTTCTTCACTTTTATGGGATTTTTTTATGTTTGCTAGGTTTCCTTACAATTCGAATGGAACTTGCACTTTGGAATGGAACTTGCACTTTGGAATGGAACTTGCATGTTATTGCAAATGGAACAAAAGTCAATTTGAGCTGGAAAAAAGCACTTGTCTAACAAGCATTTTAATTGCTTTTAAAATGGCTCAAAAAACAACAACTTAGTGGCTTACCTCTCAAGGTGTAAGCATTCATGAAAAGCGGCGTGCACTCGCTCTTTTTGAACTTCTTATGAGGCGGTGGCCCATCCAGATCTTCTTCATCTATTGTCATCACGTAAAGATCTTCCGGCTGGAAAAACAGAATCATCCAAAATTAAATTTTAAATAGAGTTTAATTTAAAAATTTAAAAGCAGAGTGTTCTGAAACAGTATCGGGTCATACTATAAATTTGGGGTCCATGTTTTTTAATGTCCCTGTCACATCTGCTTCTGTCAATGCTGAGAACTGATTTTGTAAGTTGAGAATACTTTTTTACTACCCAAGAGTGCTTAGGTAACTTGCCGAACAAATAAGTATATGAGTAAAACGCTTGTGGTTACACCATGGATCAATCTCTTTCTTGAATATGTGTGGTTCTGAGAAGAACCGGGCAATAACTCAACATTTTGAAAAGTGTACTCTGTCCGTCTTCAGGAGACTGCAGGATTCTGACTGGGAGTGGAGCTTATATGATGTAGAGAGGGATTCAGATGTAGGGATTAGCTCGGTGAGGCGTTGAGGCGGGAACAGTGAAGGCGGAAACAATGGATGCTGCGCTGGATCCTGGTACTGCATGACCTGAGTGTGTGCTTACTCAAGTGTGTCAGTTGGGGTTTGCAGTGGGAGAGTGAAAAGCTGGGTGCCAAGGGTAGAGAAGAACCATAGGCTAACTAAGGGGGGAACCTAACGAGTATATCTTGACGTCAATTTCAGTGATACTGCAATGTCAAATTACACAGGTCGGGTGCACAAGGGACTCAGAAATGTCAGTTTTAGAACCCAAATTTATAGCATGACCATGTGACCTACATATAATTTGTTTGCCAGGGACATACACGGAGTAATATTCAGCATTATCAAAGTTCTAACTAACACACACCCAACAATAGGTTTTACAAACTTGTGGTGTCCTGTGTTGCAGTCCAGTCAAAAGGGCGGATCCGCAACCCCCTTTTTGGGGGGAAGGGGGTCCAAACTTGTTTTTTGGGGCATGCGCTGTTGGAATGAACCAAACTGGTTCATTTCCAAGCAGCTGTATCGCCCCACGGAGACGATCAAAGTAGACTGTGTCTCATATGGCTGTAGATGTAACACTGTGTATTAGGAGACAGCCACAGTCAAAAGATAGTGGCTTCCATAGGAAGAAATGTTATTTCTAGCCAAAGCCACAACTTTCTGAGACAGCCACAAAATGCTCACAGTTTAATTGTGACCAGCTCCGCAAAAATGGGTATTATGGGTCTTTTTTCAAAATGAGTTACAGACACGTTTGAATTGGTCACACTATAAGCTTTCAATTGGTGTAGGTTTGAACCCTGTGGCATATTGCAATCTGGAGATATACTAATTTTTGCAGTGTTATTTCATACACATTAACAGAATTGCTTTCAGAGATAAAGACCTTTAAACACAGGATGTGGAAAAAGAAATCAGCCAAGAAGGAGGTCTCTTAACACCCACAGTAGTTAGGTTTCTGAATAGAAGCCAATAAACCAAGAAGTAAAAAATCACCCTGTCCACACACAAAAGCCCTTAGTGTGAAAGAGCACAGAGTCCCTTAATGCCCTTTTTCACAGAATGTCACAATTGGTCATACCTGGACTCTCTCCTTTNCGTGTCAGTTGGGGTTTGCAGTGGGAGAGTGAAAAGCTGGGCGCCAAGGGTAGAGAAGAACCATAGGCTAACTAAGGGGGGAACCTAACGAGTATATCTTGACGTCAATTTCAGTGATACTGCAATGTCAAATTACACAGGTCGGGTGCACAAGGGACTCAGAAATGTCAGTTTTAGAATCCAAATTTATAGCACGACCCTGTGACCTACCTATAATTTGTTTGCCAGGGACATACACGAAGACGATCAAAGTAGACTGTGTCTCATATGGCTGTAGATGTAACACTGTGTATTAGGAGACAGCCACAGTCAAAAGATAGTGGCTTCCATAGGAAGAAATGTTATTTCTAGCCAAAGCCACAACTTTCTGAGACAGCCACAAAATGCTCACAGTTTAATTGTGACCAGCTCCGTAAAAATGGGTATTATGAGTCTTTTTTCAAAATGAGTTACAGATACGTTTGAATTGGTCACACTATAAGCTTTCAATTGGTGTAGGTTTGAACCCTGTGGCATATTGCAATCTGGAGATATACTAATTTTTGCAGTGTTATTTCATACACATTAACAGAATTGCTTTCAGAGATAAAGACCTTTAAACACAGGATGTGGAAAAAGAAATCAGCCAAGAAGGAGGTCTCTTAATACCCACAGTAGTTAGGTTTCTGAATAGAAGCCAATAAACCAAGAAGTAAAAAATCACCCTGTCCACACACAAAAGCCCTTAGTGTGAAAAAAAAGGAAAATCCAAAAAATAATAATCGCATATTGGGTAGCCTAATGATGGATTGAATATGCAAATATTCAGATACATGTACATGTAGCATAGGCCTACATGTATTTGGCACAGCCCTAACCCATAATGTATTGCAAATGTCAAAAAGGTTTATAGGCCTTATTGTCATGAAAGTCTGGTTTTACATGTACTGGTAGCATTGGACTCGGAGGTACATTTATGTAATAAAATTTAGTACGCCTCAATGAATATGGAAAGTGACATACTGGTATAATGTACCTGACGTGTACATGCATGTTCGGCATTGTTTGTACGATCATGGAAGAAGGTACATTGTATGACCGTGTCCCCTTTGTACATGCACCCACAGTAGTTAAGTTTCTGAATAGAAGCCAATAAACCAAGAAGTAAAAAATCACCCTGTCCACACACAAAAGCCCTTAGTGTGAAAGAGCACAGAGTCCCTTAATGCCCTTTTTCACAGAATGTCACAATTGGTCATACCTGGACTCTCTCCTTC